ATAATTCATTTTGTTTCATAACAGTTTTCAGTTTCTTGAAAATAGTTAGTTCTTCTTCTGTTTCCTAATTGTTTTCAGTTTCTTCAAAATTATTTGTTATTGTTTTGATTTGTTTTATAATCATTTTCAGATTCTTGTAAATTCGTACATTTTTTTTGGTAATTTTTAATTAATTGCACTTTTTTTCTTCTGAAATAAAAAATCCATATTAAAATTTTGACATTTCAAACCATACAAATGTCAATAGTATTGTTTTTCTCTTCTTCTTCTACTGTCAATTTATTATTGTTTTGTTTCATAACTCTTTTCAGTTTCTTGAAAATAGTTCATTTTCAGCATATTTTCAGTAAATGCAAAACACAAATGTCACAGAAATGCTGTCAAATCTGAATCGAAACATGACATGTGTTAAACTTATATCAAATATGGGAGGTGTTGTGTCAAGGCTATTAGATTTTGTACATTCGTTCGAAACTATTTCAAATTTCGAGTACTAAATGAAACACAAATAAATTGGAAGACAAATAATGCCTGCCACTCATAAACAAGGCAGTCGATTTCGGAAAAATCCGCTGGGGCGGGCGGTCGTACAAGAGCAGCTGAACAACCGCTTTGAGACTATATACAAAACGAAGGCGAGTCTAAATTTAAAAGCGACAGTAAATTAATAAGTCAATTATCAGCCCTTCGGCAAACGGAGAGATGCAGCAGCATCGACGGACCCGAACGTCTTCTCCTCACCGCAACTCACTCCTCCTTATTCTTGAGTTTTTGGATATATTTAGATGCCATTTCGCCTTTCCCTTCGCACTACACTCTCACTCTATCTACACACCCTCTCTCCTCTTCGCTGGAGCGATGATGAACAGTTCTATTTCCATCGCACGCGCTCACAAAGAAACTTCCTTTTTGTCCTCTTCGTCCTAGCAGTAGCAGCAGAATTTCGCGACTCTTTTCCATCCTTTCTCTCACTCACTTCAACGTCGCTTCATCCTTTTCAACATCCATCAAACGCGAACGCTAATTGGACGCATGTTCTCGACTAATTCCATTAGACTCGCCCCGAAAATAAATCGGGATGCAATTTGCAATGCAATTTACCACTTATCAAAAAGATCCTCCAAGTAGATGAATAAGAAATTAAAAAAAAACATACATCTGGGTTTCATTCAGACTTTAAAGAGTATTCATCAATTGGAACGTAACACTGATTAGGTTCATAATGACCATATGTCTTAAGACTTTCGAAACGTGAGCCTCACCAAATGTTACCCCCATTATATAAATTCAAATTAAATGAAAAGCAACAACAACAACAACTTAGAATTCCTGTAAAAGACAATTTTCGCATGGAATTCCTAAGTCCGTTCAAGTTCAGCGAGTTCGCATCTTGCCGCACTGTAAGAAATTGTAGCGCGGAACGATCAGCTGTTCGCACATAACTTTACGATTTTATGGTTAATACCACCGTTGCGAATTCGCAAAGAATTTTTTTTTTTTGCTTTCCACGCGGAAGAACGAACCACGAAGAATACAAAACGTAGCTCGAGAGCGCGCGCGAAAAACATGACGTTTGTTGCATTTTACACGCATCATTTAAATTTAGAAATATCGAATTCAGAAATGTATTTATAGACGCGGATATTCCATTGAAACATCATCATCGGAACGAATCTGCGTTTTGTTGCTTATTATTAGCAAACACACAAGTTTTTTTGGTGAACGCGCGCTCTATTTATTTATAGATTCGGTGCATCGCCGTTCCGGATGATTCATCCGGTGTCTGTGTATATATATACACCTACGTACTGTACGAGTCTTTATATCATCATTTTCATTCTCCAATTGATGTAACTAGTAATAGTAGTTGATAAATTGGTGGTAATTAACTTTTGTATCTTTAGATTAGAGTTACATTTAGATAAGCCTAGGTTAGATATGCGAATCTGTAAGCGCGTCCTTAGTAACTGGTATCGCATCCTTAACAACAAACCCTAGTACATAGTAACCTCAATACGTCATTCATTACTGGTATAATTTTCCTAGCAACCTAACAATTATCACTGGTATCGTAGCAATTATAAGATACAAACAAAACTTTCAAATCTTTGAAATGTTTTGACTATAGTTTTGTAAATATCGTGCAATTATTATGTGTTGTTGTTCTATTATGCAATATATTATTAATACAAATATCACAGAAATGCTTTCAAATCTAAATCGAAACATGACAATTACATTTTGTGTTAAATTTATATCGAATATGGGAGGTGTTGTGTCAAGGCTATTAGATTTTGAAACACAAGTAAATTGGAAGACACATAATGCCTGCCACTCATAAACAAGACAGTCGATTTCCGAAAAATCCGCTGGGGCGGGCGGTTGTACAAGAGCAGCTGAACAACTGCTTTGAGACTATATACAAAACGAAGGCGAGTCTAAATTGTAACTGCTGTTGATTCTGCAATTGATGTAACTAGTAATACTAGTTGGTAAATTGGTGGTAATTAACTTTTGTATCTTTAGATTAGAGTTTAGATTAACCTAGGTTAGATATACGAATCTGTAAGCGCGTCCTTAGTAACTGGTATCGCGTCCTTAACAACAAACCCTAGTACATAGTAACCTTAAGACGTCATTCATAACCGCTGTAATTTTCCTAGCAACCAAATGGCATCCCTAACAATTATCACTGGTATCGTAGCAACTATAAGATATAAACAAACCTTTGAAATCTATGAAATATTTTGACTATAGTTTCTAAATATCGTGCAATTATTGTGTGTTGTTGTTCTATTATGCAATATATTATTAATACAAATGTTACATAAATGCTTTCAAATCTAAATCGAAACATGACAATTACATTTTGTGTTAAATTTATATCGAAGATGGGAGGTGTTGTGTCAAGGTAAATTGGTAGTAATTAACTTTTGTATCTTTATATTACAGTTAGATTTAGATTAGCCTAGGTTATATATGCGAATCTGTAAACGCGTCCTTAGTAATTGGTATCGTGTCCTTAACAACAAACCCTAGTACATAGTAACCTCAATACGTCATTCATAACTGGTATAATTTTCCTAGCAACCAAATGGCATCCCTAACAATTATCACTGGTATCGTAGCAACTATAAGATACAAACAAAACTTTGAAATCTTTGAAATATTTTGACTATAGTTTCTAAATATCGTGCAATTATTGTGTGTTGTTGTTCTAATATGCAATATATTATTAATACAAATGTCACAGAAATGCTTTCAAATCTAAATCGAAATATGACAATTACATTTTGTGTTAAATTTATATCGAAGATGGGAGGTGTTGTGTCAAGGTAAATTGGTAGTAATTAACTTTTTTATCTTTAGATTACAGTTAGATTTAAAGCCTAGGTTAGATATACGAACCTGTAAGCGCGTCCTTAGTAACTGGTATCGCGTCCTTAACAACAAACCCTAGTCCATAGTAACCTTAAGACGTCATTCATAACTGGTATAATTTTCCTAGCAACCAAATGGCATCCCTAACAATTATCACTGGTATCGTAGCAACTATAAGATACAAACAAAACTTCGAAATCTTTGAAATATTTTGATTATAGTTTCTAAATATCGTGCAATTATTGTGTGTTGTTGTTCTATTATGCAATATATTATTAATACAAATGTCACAAAAATGCTTTCAAATCTAAATCGAAACATGACAATTACATTTTGTGTTAAACTTATATCGAAGATGGGAGGTATTGTGTCAAGGCTATTAGATTTTGTACATTCGTTCGAAACTATTTCGAATTTCGAGTACTAAATGAAACACAAATAAATTGGAGACAAATAATGCCTGCTTCTCAAGACAGTCGATTTCCGAAAAATCCGTTGGGGCGGGCAAGTCTAAATTGTAACTGCCAATTGTTGATTCTGCAATTGATGTAGTAATTAACTTTTGTATCTTTAGATTACAGTTAGGTTTTGATTAGCCTAGGTTAGATATGTGTATTTGTAAGCGCGTACTTAGTAACTGGTATCGCGTCGTTAACAACAAACCCTAATACATAGTAACCTCAATACGTCATTCATAACTGGTATAATTTTCCTAGCAACCTAATGGCATCCCTAACAATTATCACTGGTATCGTAGCAACTATAAGATACAAACAAAACTTTGAAATCTTTGAAATATTTTGACTATAGTTTCTAAATATCGTGCAATTATTATGTGTTGTTGTTCTATTATGCAATATATTATTAATACAAATGTCACAGAAATGCTTTCAAATCTAAATGCTTTATATCGAAGATGGGAGGTGTTATATCGAAGATGGGAGGTGTTGTGTCAAGGTAAATTGGTAGTAATTAACTCTTGTATCTTTAGATTACAGTTAGATTTAAATTAGCCTAGGTTAGATATGCGAATCTGTAAGCGCGTCCTTAGTAACTGGTATCGCGTCCTTAACAACAAACCCTAGTACATAGTAACCTTAAGACGTCATTCATAACCGGTATAATTTTCCTAGCAACCAAATGGCATCCCTAACAATTATCACTGGTATCGTAGCAACTATAAGATACAAACAAAACTTTCAAATCTTTTGACTATAGTTTCTAAATATCGAGCAATTATTATGTGTTGTTATTCTATTATGCAATATATTATTAATACAAATGTCACAGAAATGCTTTCAAATCTAAATCGAAACATGACAATTACATTTTGTGTTAAACTTATATAAAAAATGGGAGGTGTTGTGTCAAGGCTATTAGATTTTGTACATTCCTTCGAAACTATTTTGAAATTCGAGCACTAAATGAAACACAAATAAATTGGAGACAAATAATACCTGCCACTCATAAACCTGTCATTCATAACTGGTATAATTTTCCTAGCAACCAAATGGCATCCCCAACAACTGGTATCACTGGTATCATAGCAACTATAAGATACAAACAAAACTTTGAAATCTTTGAAATATTTTGACCATAGTTTCTAAATATCGTGCAATTATTACGTGTTGTTTTTCTATTATGCAATATATTATTAAAATCAAATCAACTTAACATAAACAACGGAAAAATGTACGTAGATTCCAATCTTTGTTCAATTAATAAATTAACAGGGCAGAGAATAATGTGAAACGCGATCACATAACTAGATGTTGAAAAAAGTGGTGAAAACAGTAAAAAGTGCGGAATAACAATGGAAAGACTGAGGATGTTTCTGAAGGAGACCACCCTGCACGGAGCTAAATTTATCGCGGATCGACGAAGGCCGATTTACGAGAGGTCAGTTCATTCCCGTCGGTGCATTTAATTCTATTGTTTATCGATAAACCTAACGGATTTCGTTTCGGAATAGATTTATGTGGTTCCTGTGCGTCGCATTTGCTTTTGGGATCACGATGTTCGTCGTATTGGCCCTATGGGAGAAGTTCCAGACGAAAGCGACGATAACTGGATTAGATACGGACTTCAACACCTGGGACGTGACCTTTCCCGCACTCACACTGTGCGAACACGATCCCAGCAATCAACGGATAATAGATGAATTCATCCAAAAGTCTGTTCATTTTCTTAATAATCCAATAGAATTAATACCAATTTGTTGCAGAAACATGAATAATACCAAGAGGATTCACGAGACAAAAAAACTTCTCGTCAATTTAACGCATTTCTCCTACAAAACTTTGAAGGAAATCAAAACCAATTCCGGACTTTTACAAGACAACACAAATTTGAAAACTTTGTCTTATCAAGTAATTATAGCAAAATTAACTTCGTAACCTAAATTTCATTGATTTTTCAGTTACTGAGTCCTTGTTACGCGTTGCTCGCCGAATGCGAGTTTAAAGCGGAAATATTCAATTGCTGCGACATATTTAATCCGGTTTTCACGGAAGTTGGCTACTGCTTCACCTTCAACTCTCCCTACTTCGACACAGACATACCTTTGTATGCATCAATTAATTACGTAAAACCACTCTAAATCACCCAATCTTTACACAGATCCTACACTTTGAAATTCTTCAAACCAGAAGACATTCGATTGACCGACTCCAAATGGAACATGAAGATCACTCTGGCAAGAGTGGATCCGCGCATGAAGATCTCAGTTAACGTCTTATTATAACTAAAGGCAACTTACTAAGCTCTATATGTTAAAGGTTTTCATCCATGATTACGAAGAACCAGTCGGGATTGATTTGAAGCCTCAGCACGTCTGGGATTCTCGCGTGGATAGCATAATCTTCTCACCAAAAAGCACGTACACTGAGGCAATGGCTCGACAGCTCAGCATTCGCCAGAGGAATTGCGTCTTCCACGATGAAATCGTCCTGAAGAGTTCGATGCTTTACACGTACACGGCTTGCATGCAGGAATGCAGGATGGACGCGGCCTTAGAGTATAAAAACAAACATAAAAACATCAATTATTCACAGTTAATACGATTATTATAATTCTTCAAGTTTGTGCAGTTGCATACCTCATTTTTACCCGGAAAACGGCGACAAACAATACGTGCATTGCAATTTAAAGCAATTGAGTTGCATAATCGAAAACATCAAGGCCATCGTCGATCCGAAGGGTTGCGGTTGCATGTTGGGTTGCTCCAATACCGTTTACGAAGTTGAAAAACACAACGAATACTCGTAAATAACCGAAATACAACAAATAATAAATGTTTATTACTTCTCTTTTAGTCCTTTCGAAACTGTTGTTGGATTCGAGGTGGAATTCCTCTCTTGGCCCTCGGTCAGGTACAAAAGGGAAATCATCTTCGGATGGAGCGACCTCTTAGGTAGTAAATCTCTTCGCACCCTCACCGTAAACCATTCATCGGCAACATTAACGCACTCGTGCTCTTCAGATATAATGCATGATACTCTACCATTCATAAATCTTACAAAAATAATAATTTCCTTTTGATAACTTAACACCAATTGTAGTATTATTATTAACGAGATCGGTGTAAATCAATCTGCAAGTTTGATCTGTTCTCCAGTGGCGTGCGGCGGAGTTGCCGGTCTTTATACGGGATTCAGTTTGGTTTCGGCTATAGAGTTCATCTACTATTTCACAATCAGAGTCTACTGCATGTCTTTCAAATCAGAGGAAAGAAGCAAAAAACGGCAGAAAATTAAAAACTTACAAGATTTACATGTAATTAATATCGTTAAGTTACTAATTGTTTACTAATTAAATAAACGTGTTTCAGGTTACAAATGCGAACACAGATGGATCTGTGATGATCATCAATATTCTACCACCGTTTGGAATAGAATTTACAAATTAATTTCAAACTCCGACCAATAAAATTTTAATAAAATATATAAAACAAATTGGTTTACTTCTTTTGTAAAAAAAAAAGATAGTTTAGCTTGAAATGACGAATTATAGGTATATATAAGTTGCATAACTATTTGAATTAATTAAACAACTATTATAAAACAGTTAAGCAATAGATGGCAAAAACAATGCAATTTCATACATACCTCACATAGTGTATGCAACCAAAGTTACTAAAATTTTCCAATCGATTAAAAATACATTGAAACCTAATTAATACGTAAATTAACCTTATTTTTAATTATAGAACTAATATTTCTATAATTTAATAATGAAATATATATAAAAAAAATATGAATTATAAGTAAATAAATAAAACTTACATAATTTTCAAACGCGTATTTCACCAACGAAGAAAACATTAATTAGACAAATTAAACACTTTAAAACTTATTTAAAAGTGAATTTTCAGTAATTAAATCGTTGTAATTAGTAGCAGTAATTTATCAACACCACTGACATTCACAATTAGAAAATAACAGTTTGATTGTTTTAGTTTTTTGTTTTTCAAGACCTCCCATTTATTTTCATTAGTAATTTTATATAGAAGGCCAAACAATGCAATGTCAATTATGCAACCAAATTCACTAGATTTCGATTAACGATTTACAATTTTAAAAAAACTAATTAGAAAACTAAACTAGTTATGAATAGATAATCAGTTTTTATATAACAATAGAAAATGTGTTATATACAATTATATAATTTCTAGTAAATAAATATGACGTTTATAAAATAACTGTTTAATGGTTTTCGTTTTTGTTTTTCAAGACCTTCCATTAAATTTCATTAAACAAAAAACGAGTGATTTTATGTCATTTTTCATAGCCTTCCCAGATTTACTTTCATAATGTTTCCTCAATCGACTAATTAGAGATGTTATGAATTTATTACTGTTTATTAGGTCGCACCATAAACATTTTATTCGTAGAATATCGAACAATTCCGCTGCAATTTAATACTGATCGATAAAAGTAGAAGAAAAAAAATATGGAATGGATAAAAGTTACATAATAGACGCGACGATTGAACAATGGATGTATTTTATCAAAGCTCTATTGAAAGCAATCTGAGATCGTATCATACAAAACGTCGATGACGAATGTACAACGACGCGGATCACTTCGCAAGATGCAACAACGAAAAAGCGCTAAAGTTAGAAAATCCACCAGCAATTATAAACTGCTGAAGACGAGTTGGGAGCACCAAGGTCGCATCTTCTTCGAACAAAGCACTCTGCATGGAGTTAGATACATTGCGGAAACTGGAAGACCTCTGATTGAAAAGTGATTTTTCTTGTAAATTTTGTAAAAAAAAATTGTTTTCCTCTAATTGTTTGTAGGTTTCTGTGGTTCATGTGCGTCGGAATCGGTGCTACGGCGACTGTAGTCATCATCATTAGTCTTTGGGAGAAGTTCCAAACGAATCCGACGATCACAGGTTTGGATACAGACTTTCACACCTGGGACGTGCCGTTTCCAGCGGTTACCATCTGTCAAAGCGTCCCTAGCAACGAAAGCATCATCGACGATTTCATCCAAAGGTTTTCCAAAAAAAACACCAACTTTTTATTAATTGTATTACAAAATAATGAATAATTTTTCAGCGATATGAAAGATGTCGATGATAAAGAGAAATTGAAAGATTTCATCGTGAAGCTCACGCAATTATCGTACACAACCATCAACAGTTTCAAGGATTACACCGAAAGCCATTATTTAGCTGAAGATGTGAATCTTAAAGCTTTTGTCTTCAAAGTAACTTAAATTTTAGTTTACAGTATTCGCATAGATGGCGTTTCAATCAAATTTGACAGTTATTGTTTTGTTGACAGTTGATGAATCCTTGTGACGATATACTGACGGAATGCATGTTCAAATCGAGATCGTACAACTGCTGCGAAAACTTTTTTCCGGTTTTCACCGAATCCGGATACTGCTATTCCTTCAATTCGCGTCACTACGAACTGAAATCTCCTTGGTATTTGGATTAAAAAGTTATAGTAAAAAGTTTTGCGTGAATGACAGTTTGACGTTTAAGGTCTGATGATGAAAATCCGCCATTCGAGATGAAGTATATCAAGGAAACGGACAGCAAATGGTCTTTGAAGATGTCCGTAGCAGATGTAGATCCACTCTACAACTATTCGGTATAGTTCTATAAATTATATTAAGAGTTTGATGATAAGGTGTTGGCGTGTTGCATAAGTCATACGTATTAAGTGGCGCCATCACGGTGGATAAATGGAACTTATACAATTGAATTGTACCAACTGTAAAATTGAGTTTCTAATCGGATTGTGTTTTTAGATCTATATTCACAATTCGGATGAGATTCCTGGAATCGAATCGAAACCGCAGCACATTTGGGACTACAGGGTGGACAAAATTATGTTTTCTGTGAAGCAGACGTATACGACAGAAGATGCAAAACAGTTGAGCATAAAGCAAAGGCACTGCGTTTTCGAGCACGAACTTAAACTCAAGATCGATAACTTGTACACTTATTCGGCGTGCACCAAACAATGCAGAATGGATACTGCGATAAAGTAAAGATTTTTGATCATATAACAATATTCGGATTAAAAAATAATGCTTTAGGCTTTGTGGTTGTGTACCTCACTTCTACACTTCTGATATCAACTACAGACAATGCACTTTGATGGAATTAGGTTGCATTTCCGATCACCTGAAGCAAATCCGAGACGTGGATAAGTGCAAATGTTTCCTCGGTTGCTCGAATACCGTTTACGAAGTGGAGAAACTCAACGAATTTGGGTATACATTTTTTGTTCCTATATTTTTTTTTTAATTCATAATAAATTTCAGATCAGATGAACTTACTTCATCTTTAGAAACAGAATTCGTGTCCTGGCCAATGGTCAGGTACAAAAGGGAGGTGCTTTTCGGATGGGTCGATCTTTTAGGTTAAATTTGATGAATTGTCAATTTGATGTATCAATTTTTTGAAATTCATTACAGTTTCTTTCGGTGGTATCGCCGGGTTATTTCTTGGATTCAGCCTATTGTCTGGAGTCGAGGTTCTTTACTACTTCACGATCAGAGCTTGCTGCATGTTCTACAGGAATAAAGATGAGCTGTTGAAGATCGAGGAAGAAGCCGAGCTGAATAAGAAAACGGATTACGATCTGAGTCTCGTTCCGTATTTCGTCAAGAAACCTAAAAATCAAGGACGATTGGATGTGGCCAAGAGGATGAAGCGAAGGAAGAACTTCAATAAAGTCAACATAGAACCGGTAAGTCCATATCGTTACCTTGACAACCTACGTGATGTTACCATGGATTCATTTGATCACTGTCAAATCCATTGTTTTGTAGAAGGTGATGAAGGTACGACCCATGAACCCGGGCCAGGTGATTCTTCCGCCGTTCGGCATCGAGTACACGAATTAACTAAATAAATTCGATTTTATTCAATAGAGTACAATTTTTTTGAGACGATGCGCGCACGTCGTTCGTCTCTTAACAACATAATACAACAACAAAATAAAATAATAATAATAATAGGACCTGAATCTCAACTTTCATTTGATTTATGTGTGTGATCATGTGTACCACAACAACGACTAAAACTTTCTCTTAAACCTAGGATCTTTCCAAAGTACAAATCTCGATGGAATTGAATCTTCATTAGTTTTTTCTTCTTCACGTGGGACGAAATGCAAAAATAAACAAATAAAATATAGTAATAATAATAATAAGAAACGAAACGTAATTGTGAAGTGATGAATAAAAATACAACGTACAAATGTTACAAACACGAATAAATACTTTTCACCGTTATTTAACTTCTTTTTTTTTGCCTTACTTCATATAGCCTCTCGGGACCTAACTTACAAGATGCGCACTATACATTGTTATATAATGTTTATGTATAAATATAAATTAGACTTAGACAAATTCAAAGGTACAAGAAACATTAAGATTAAAGCTTTCTCCACTTCTCTTTTTACCATCAACAAACGTTAATTCTAATAGTAGTGTTGGTAAATAGTACAATAAAAAAAAAAAACAATAAACAAAAGAAGAATGCAATCTTCTCTTTTCAGCTAATCCTATCTATCGGTGGCGTTCGGATTCGTGTAGCTGAAGCCTTGGAACTGCGTCTGGTCCATCGACTGGAGGATGGTCTGGTTGATGGGCGTGAGTTTCGCCTTCTCCGCCGTGAAGGTTCTGTCAAAGTATTGAGTATCGAGCGGATGTTGCTGCAAACGATGATCAATAGTTTAAAGATTAGTCTAACTTTACACGAGAATCTTCATGTTTACCAAATTTGGACGGAACGGTGGCTCCAGCTGCCGCAGATTCAGCAGCTCCCAGTCGACCGGATGAAAGAAGGGTTGATCTTGAATATCGCCTTGCAAGCAGAATTTGTTACCAAGTCGCTTCGTCGCATCCTTCTCCAACAGCTGAAAGTCAATGTAACATTAATCAGTCAAATTGACAGGTACGTCAAATTGACATTTTAAATTCATAAATTACATAATGTCATTTTTTTAACTGAACATATCAATTTGAATGAACATATTGTACTGTTTACTAACCAGAGTAAGGATGTTGTTAGCTTCTCGACTTAAGAAACGTGGAAGGACGGGCCTTTCGTTGCAGATGGACCAGAAGAGTTCGTCCTCGTCGCAACCGCTGAAAGGAGACTGTCCAATCAGCATCTCGTACAATAGAACACCGAAGGACCACCAATCCACGTTCTGGTTGTAGTGTTGACCTTTGATGATCTGCAAAAGATTCGAAAAAGTAACAAAATGTTTAAAAGACGTGTCGAATTACTTCAGGAGCCATGTAATCCGGTGTCCCGCAGAACGTATCCGCCGTCCTGTCCAGGAAGATCTGCAGTTTGCACATTCCGAAATCTGCGATGCGGACGTGTCCATCGAAGTCCAACAGGATGTTGTCCAATTTGAGATCCCTAAAATAATCGATTGGTAATTTGATGATGATGATGATTTTTTTTGATAATACCTGTAGACGATGCCTTTGCTGTGGAGGAACTTCAGACCGGAAACGATTTCCGCCGCGTAGAAACGCGCCCTCGGCTCCAGGAATCTTCCGGACTGCTGGATGTGGAACATGAGATCGCCGCCGTTCAGGTATTCCATCACGAAGAAGAGGTGAGACTGTTGATGGATGCACAAGATAAATAAACCATCGAGGATTTATTTTGGATGGAAGCCACAGAGAGCTCGCTCGATGACATACGACGAGGAACGATATTTCTCGCAATTATTCAATGGATACCGTAATGTAAATCATCGATTGGATCGGAGCCAATTCGCGTGGGCGGAAGACACGAAACTTGAAATTCTAATTGAAAACAGTGACCCAGAAGGTCGACCGACTCCCAGTGATTTATGCCAGTATCTCTTATTTATTTATTTTTTATTTACAGCATTTCGAGAATAGTCGAATAATTAACCCAATTACATTCAGCATAATTGAAATAAACTGTTCTAAATGCAATGGCCAAGATTTATGTATCAACTCTAAGATAAGTAAGATTCGTATACAAACTGTAACAACATAGTTTTGTTGCTATAGTAACAATTTCATAACTGTCAAATTAGATTTATCAATCGTATTAAAAACTAGTAAATTTTAACTGTTATTTGTAAACAATGTGAAGGTTAAATTAATGCCTTCACCTTCAGAATTTTTTAAAAGACTTATTATCATGAAATGTTGGCAGAAAGAAAACAATATCTATTTTAGTAATGTTGAGGTTAAATGGATTTGCTTCTATAGCAAATATTATTATTGGATTACTTCAACTGTTAAACAATTAACATGTTACGAACTTGATTAATGTTGCAAGTGTTTGCAACCAATTAAACAATGATTAACACGTTCAGGACGCCTATGGACTGAGAGAAACATCAAATATCTTACGTCAATTATAACCTTTAAACGTTTAAATTTTTCTTATACATTTTTTTAATGATATTGAAGCAATTTATAAGAATTGTGGGAAAAATATTGAAATTTTCATAAAGTTGTTACATATTGCGCACAGTGTTAGATCAACCGAC